CCAAATTCCAACATGTATCCTCCATTTTTTCTTTGTTTATTTCCAATTCACGTGATTCAGGCGAGAATACATTCTTAGTAATTTAGAACGACACATCAGAGGATGCGCTGCAGGTACTTTCTAGCTGTGTTTCGCCGCAAAAAGTTAAACTATTCCAAACTTAAATATTTTTCAGACATTGCAGGACAAAGGCCCCACTTTGTCTCTCCCTGCTGAGAAGTCAAAGTGCCTTACAGTGGAGTTGATGATGATGATGATGGCGGTGCACCATCCTCCGACAGTGTTGATCTGACAGACACCTGAAATGCAAGGAAAAGGTGTGTTAAACATCATCTTGGGGGAAAAAGGCCATTGCCTTGAAAAAATAAAATAAAATGTAATTCCTCTAGCAGAAAAAAAAATGTCTTGCTTGATTGTTTTATGCAAAGGTTTTTTAAAAATAAAAGCTGTACAGCGGCTGACTAAAGCACCAGTAAATATAAACTACCCTTGAGTGCCAGTTTAGTAGGTGTACCTTACTATAACTGTGTTAGGATTCATTCATTGTATCTGTGTGAACCTAATAAACTGGCAATTCAGTGTATATTTCATGGTGAAGTACATAAATATAAAATACCTTGCTGTCCCAATCTGTCTGTTCTTTAAGAGCAGACCAGGTAAGTCGAGCTGCATTTTGTCGGGCTTCTTTGGCACTTCTACCCTCAGCCACAGGGTACTCCTTGTTGTCTATTATTAATCTGTAGAAGAATCTGTGTTTTTTTTAAAAGATGGAAATAGTTTAGATCAGAATGTTAAAATGTTAATGTTGTTTAAATATCTCTTATCATACTATTTTTAGGCATATATTATGGGTCTCAGATATATACAAATATATAAAAAACATGTCTATGATGTATTTTGATCAAAATACCAAACGGATCATGCATTTTAGACATCCCTCATATCCCTCTGTTTCAGCCCTGTTAGAGAATTGCTGATTCTGGGTCAGTAGCTGCTGGCTCCGCCCCATTTTGAGCACGGCAAGGCAAGCAGTGAGGTGTCCTCTCTGCCTGGATATACTCAACTAAATGCTGCCGTGATTAAACGCCATATCATGTTCCAAACCACTTCAAGGATTATTTCTGAAACAGTATGGAGCTCAAATGCTTTTTGAGTTCCTTTTTTTATTTCCTGCTTTTTTACACATGTATAGGCTAGCTCTGAGTGTTAGCGATGCTTGCTAATGTAAACAAAGACCATATTACTTCCAAAACACGTAGCGCATTGTTTCTGATAGCCCACATTTCCGATATTACGTCATATCGGCAGCAAATCTGGATCAGTTCCGTTGTACCCCCGTTTTTAGAGATTTGGGTACGGAGGAAAAGAGAGAGGGTTTTATTTTTCTGACACTTTGTGAGTTCCCTGACACACCAGGGACACATATTTATGTATAAAAGACATAACAAATGTATTTTTGCATGATAGGAGACCTTTAAGACTAAACGTCAATTAAAGGTCCCCTATTATACTGTTTTTCATCAATATATTATAGGTCTCAGATAGATACAAAACATGTCTCTGAAATGTTTGGCTGAAATACCAAACAGATCACCCATTGTAGCATCCCATAAACCCCTCTGTTTCAGCCCTGTTTCAGAAGGGCTGATTCTCTGTCTGTTACTTTAGATGAAAATAAGGAGCCACTCCCCACGCCCCTCTGAGAGATATTTGGTTAAAAAAAACCACAATGGTGCTCTATGAGGAGATTCGGGTGATAAGGTGGCGGGTGTTACCTTGGTTGGTTATTGGCTAATGGTTACACAAGCCAAAACATCGTTATGACATCATAAAGTGGCCAAAATCTTTGTTTATGTATAAAAGACATGAAAAAGTAGATTTTGCATAATAGGTGACCTTTAAGAGTTACCATAGAGTGTCTGTAGTGTCTATTCAGGTAACAGTGGTTCTGGTTCATACTCACTGAGGAATATGAGCTGGACCGTCTCTCTTCACTTCAACGAATGAATGGCAGCGTTTTTTTGTCTGACAGTAGTGGTTAATTAATCCAATGAAATTATGTTCAGAGCTGTTGTCCTGAGAGTTGACACTGAGGCTTCTTGTCTTATTACTGTAATAAACAAGAGATATTTAACAGATGAAGACATGAAAATAAAACATTGCACTGGCTTTGCGATTTACTCACCAGATATCAGAATCCTTTTGGTTTAGTTCCTTTTTTTGTTGAGCTGATGTAGGGTTGTAATTATCATCTGCAGTCTTGACAATAAAAAAATACATATTGAGATATTCACCCAGAGGACTGTGCCTTGCTGAGTAAGTGACTACCTTTAATAATAGGGGGTTGTTAAAAATAGAGGACAACACATATTACTGTCGCAACTCATACCTGATGTGCGCCCTCTGACAAGTCTCTCAGGGCATTTTTAGCAGCATCTTGCTTGGCTTCCTTTTTCGTCTTCCCCACACCTTCAGGATAGTCTTTACCATTCATGACTACCCTCAGGGTGAATCTGTAGAGCAATTGTCATGTTTCTGTTATTCAGGCAGACTTGAAATAATGTTGTTGGGGTGAATTAAGTTACATCTGCACACTATTATTAAGCCTCTACTCCCCCAAGTAGTAGGTGCTAAAGATTTTGCAGAATACAGGTTTTAGCAGGTCTGGATCAGAATAAATGGGACCTATAGCCCAATTGGACCTAACCCAGTTTGGTAAGACAACCTATATTCTGTTATTTAGCCAAACGGATCAACATCATGAAACATAGAGGAAAAAAAGTGAAAGTTTATGCTCAACCTACTTGACTTCCATTCAAATCTATTATGTCACTTCCTGAAAATAATGTCAATTGAATTTGCATGGAACTAATTAACAGAGAGAAAACTTACTTCAGGGAAACAGTAAGTAAGTCACCATAAGAATAATTTAAATAATTAAAACAACTATAGTTGTTCCTAGACTATTTTTAGTATTTTATGGGCTATGTTTTTGTAGAAGCACTGGGGCCATGGAAAAAAACATGTACCCCTTAAGGAGCTCGTTAAAGAAAAAACAACGTATATTACTTTACGATTATTTAATAATAAGGAAGTACATATCTGATTTCCCATGAGTAGCTCAATAACGTTGATATAGAACCACTCCCACTGCGGCAATGTAATGTACTGTAGCTATACCGATTTGCATAACCCACCGGTAACAAATGTTAAATGACTTACGTTTTGCAGTGGTCTGGGCCATCAGATGGAGACTCCCTGTATTCCGGAGTAAATTTTTTTTTGTGTGCGTACTCGTTGAGCCTTGCGACATAATTCTCTCTTTCCATCTTGAATGATTTAACCGTCGAAATGTGATCTTAATTACATAAAACTGTGTTCAATCCAACAATACTTGTTTATGTCCCATTCCAGCCTTGTCCCTCCTGCAGTCCTGCGTAGGCTATATATGTGCTCTTTTACGGTTCAACTGACTCTTGATACAAGTAAGTTTCGATTTCCTCGTTTTAAACGTCATTTACGTAAACTTACGTGGCTTGACTCGTGTTTGAACAATGAATTCCGTTCGCACAGATTCATTACTGGTGATGACAAACAACAAATAGCAACATTGTTTCATTTTAAATAAAGTATATAGTCCATGATTTTGGTACACCTACCCTTTGAATGTTATCGTTTTAGGCAATGTTTAGATGCCTTATTTTATTTAATACTTAACTGCATCTATTTAAACTTTTTTTTTACACACTGGAATATTATATTATTCCAGGATTTATTATATTACTATAATATGTACATTCAAATGGTTTAAGAAAGAGACCAAAGTTCAACATGTACACACTACTGCTGGTAAAAATTCAGAATTGTGTCGTTTGACAAAAGTTGTTGTAGTTTTTTGCAGAATGTACAATGTAGTTCATCTGTCCAGTGGAGTGCGCACACAGTGTCTCAGGGTGTGGGCAACACTTTTGACAAGGGACACCTCTTTCAAGGTATAGTGTTTATTTTCGGTCTATGGTCACACCATGTTTAATCAGAGATACACTGTTGCCATAGTCAGACAAAAATGTGCATGCTTACCCAGGGACGGGCTGGTGCTACCTGGCTGTTAGGTTAGGCACAGGTTAAGCAGGTTTGGGTAGTTTCCAGTAAATGTTTTGTGACACTTGTCACGTGTCACATATCAGCCAGATGAATTTGATATTAATGCTATCAAGTAAGCTAGACAGTCACAATCAGAAAACGTTATTGATCCAACAGGGTAAATTGGGCTAAATTGTTGTTTTGTTCCATTCTTGAATATACATTTATATAAAGAAATAAGTATTATTAAAGTTAGTGCATTGTATTACTAATGTAAAAATATTTAACAACAATACATACAGGATCGCTGTACTCTGTGTAGTGACAATTAAGGAATATAATGTAATCTGATCTAAAATGTGAAAACAGAGGTAAGAACTGAAGTGTTTGGCTCTGTCTTTGTTAGCAGGTTGTGACAAAGTCAAACTAACACACCTACCTGCAAATGACACTCCTGATATTACAATGATGAGTTGGTCGATATTACCATCTTATTGTGATTGGAATGCCTTTCTTTTTTAGCAGTCACAATCACCACTAATATTACAGTCATAGCAATAGCCATGTAGCCGCAGCCACAGAGGGCACACCCAATTTGGCTTTGGTTGAAGACAGTAGGAATTCTGCTTGTCTGACACACTTGAAGTAGTCACAGGACAACTTTGGCCAATCATACGGGATGGACATTTAAGTGACAAAACTGAGACACACAAGTGTCTCCTTAAGACATATCATGGGTAAAGAGAGCTTTCTGCTCATTTCTGCACAGCACTTTCCCTCTCTGCTAATACCTACCACAAAGCTGGATTACACCTGGCAGTGGTTGACCAGTTATACCTCCTATTATCTTAACCTTTACATGTTTATTCGAACTGATAATTAAAAAAAGTTGATTTAGAAAGAAAAATACTTACATATTGAGTGTAATTCCTTTATGTCAGAAATGCTATAACTAAGTACTTAAACATGGTTATGTTGAAGATTCAGCATTTTAAAGTCGTTATCATCAAATGTTTGAATTTTTCTGGAACAAGGGCACATTCCCTTATTCAGAGGTGATCAAATACCGGTACAGACTCATTTTAATGTAAACAAAGCATATCATAAGCAGAGGAATCCACGTCATGCAGCAGAGATTGTGCAACACTTTACAGAGGACTGATGACCATCAGACCCTTGTTGCCAACATTTTATTCAGACAAGTCATTAAAAGCAAAGGGTTTAATTTGACAACTTGAACCCAGACATGCAGCGTGGAATACATTGTTTCAATGAGTTGATAACTTGACCATGAATTAATTATTTGTTAAAAGTTAAAATTGCCGTATGTCAAATCAGACGGAGGTTCTTATTTATATCATATATTTGGTCGAAACATTATATATATATATATATATATATATATTTATTTATATATATATATATAAATATAAATATATATATATATATATAAATATATGATGATTAAAACCAAAAAATAAATGTTGTTTTATATTTTTGCAGAATAGATTTCCACCGGGAATTTTGTAATTTCCACCCACTAAAAATGTGTCAGAAAAGAAGCCCTTTTCAGCGTTCAGAATCTTAATAAATACAACTCCTAGAGCCTTAAAATTTGGTAGAAACACAGATAAAATGTTAACCACAAAATACAAATGGTTAAAAGGCACAAGCAGATGTCATATTTGTATTACTGGCCCTTGAAATAAAAAAAAGTGCATAATTGGTGCTTTTGGGGCCACAGGCAGTCCTCCTAAATTTACACATATGGACATTTTCATGCATTACAGTAATTGATTGATGTTATACCAAATTGCAGGGGCTCTAACATAAACATAATCTGACTTGTTGCAATTTGACATGTCAAAATTGTAATCTGTTGCCTTTTTGAGCAGCCTAAGGCCCTGTCCACACGGAGACGAAACGGGTGTTATCCGCTATAGTTCTTTATCGTATGGACGGTTCGTGCACACGAGGCCGTAACGGAACCGCGGAAATGTAGCCCTCAAACGATAACGCATCCCAAAGTGGGAAGGTCCACAACCATCAGCAACAAGTGGACATGGAGAACTACATGAACTACATGTTGCTAAAATGCAGTTCTCCTAGCTGCTAAATCCACCGCGGAGAATAACCAGAAGGGCAACCAGGCAACCATGCAGGAGGGGTCTTATTTGCTGCTTTTGGTGTATTTTGTGGCGGAAGTACAGCGCCACTTACAGGCCCGGCATATGTACTACAGCGTCTCCAGCAGTCTCGTGTGGACGGACACTTTTTTGATATCGACCTCAGTTCGTTTTCGTCTCCGTGTGGACGGGGCCTAAATGGTGATGTGGAATCATTCCTGCAACCCTGAAAATGTGTGTAAAAAAAGGTCTATAAGTGCGCATTCTGTGTGTAAAGTTTCAAGTTCCTTACATGTTGTCTTCACGTTTAAATTTAACAAGATGCGGCATCTATAAACCGAGTACCCATGTATATACCTGCATTTTGCAAGTGAGGGTGAGATTAATCCTACCTACAAGTAAAGACATACTCTCAAAATGTATCTCAATACACATATTTGCATAAAGGAAGTGCTCAAAAGCTACTTCCATGGAGCATGTAACATGTAGCATGTAAACATTTCAACACAACAACTCAATACAGTTACTTAGCACTGAAAAAAGTTCACCGGGACCTCGATGGTATGCCAGGTAGTTGATTGTGCTTAAAGCCTCCGTTTGCTCAATTTTAACATGTAGACTACATGGTAGACAATTGTTACTTAACGCACAAAATACCCACATAAAGACCCCTTTTCACACACATTTTCAAGGTTCTAGCAATGAATCCACATTACCAATCTTGCCACATCTCAACATTCTGATGTTAGAGCCCTTGAAATGTGTCACAACATTAATCCAACACTTTGTTTTTAGCAGGAAATATAGAGATGTCCATATATATATACTTTGGGGGTGCATACTGCCTGGGGACCCAAATCCACATATTTGGCTTTTTTCCAATTTCAAGGGCCTGTAATGAAATGTATGACATCTGCTTGTTCACTTTCATCATTTTGATCCAGTGTGTATAGTCTTTTTTATGCCTCTACCACATTTAAGGTTTTACGAGTTATGCCAAGGTTTAATTGAAGGTATTTAAGACCAAATATGTCCACCTGTCTAAGATGTGGTTCTTGGTAGGAATATGACTGAAGACCCAGGGGCCAAAAAACATATTTGACAAACAATGCTTTTTTTTGTCTCAAATGGCATAATATGCTACGATAATGACAGACGCCTCGGTGTATATATGTGAGGACCGATCCACTTCATGGTTGCCATGTATTTCTGTGGACCAGAGGGAGTGGAGTGCAGCGCGCGAGGTCCGTTGGATAAGCCGTTCTGTAGAAGCCGTAAAGTGCAAATAGACGCGCATCAAAATCCCCTCCACAGCACAACCATGTCTGCAAATGGCCACGATGGGTTGTCTCTATGGGGGTATATTTTCTTTTACAAAGTAGCAGGCCTGTCCTTCACCGGTATTACATTACCGGTGAGGGAAATGCGGATGTGTGTAGTGCCTCTAGTATTTATCTGTACCTTTACAGTATAAGTGCACAGGGCAGCCCTAAAAATACATCTCTTTGTTTGCCAGTCTGAACTGAACTTCGACTTCCCGCCTGCTTTTAACAAATCTGGGGCATACATATTTAATGTTTGAGCAAAATTTAAAATTTAAACAAAACCTTTGTCTGATAAGTCATAAAGCACTCACTGGAGAAAAATATTAATATGATTTTATCAGAATTCCATGAAAAGTTCAGCAGTTTTGAAAAAACAACTCTGCTTCATTATTCGAAATTAACCAGATGCCTTTAAATCCTAAGAGAAGCTCTTGTTAACTTGATAGTCCGATTTCATGGAAGCAAACATGCCTGGTAAATTTATTCCAGCACTGAGAAACCTATAGAAGACTTGAGATTAACAAAGGGGCAACTGCTTGACTGCCATCTACTAATTCCCCTCCCAGTCAACCCAAATGTTTTTCAGATGCATCCTCTTATATCTGTGAAGCAAGACTTAGTTCAACTGATCCTGGAGAAACTCTACAACATTTTTACAACAATATCTTCTATATTACTTAGAGACAAGTGTATCTCCATATGTAACATATCAAACACAAAATAAACTGTATTAAACCTAACAAGCAGGACATGTTTTCTCCCATGAAAAAGAGCCATGAAGAAAAGGAGAGCTTCTCTTAGGATTTTGAGATAACTTGTTGTTTTAGAAAACAGAGCAGAATAAATCTTGTCAATTAAAATACAGAGCTAATTGTTTTTCTCAAGTAAATGTATTGTACTTTGGTAGATTTTACACAGAATGACCCATTTCTGTGCGCCATTCCCAATCAATGATACATAATTATGAAACATTTGTCATATTAGTTCATGAAAACATCAGTCATTTAAACAGATACCCCTTTTAGGAAATGAAAACTCTCAGTGTTATGGAATATGATGCTGAATAGCCATGCATGTGATGACTGATGCTTTTGCCTGTTGTTTATTGATTTTCTTGAAATAATCAAAAAGTCTGACTGTTGAGGCACATATCTTTAAGACATGTCAATCTACGAGCGCACTCTTCAAAGTCTGTCTTTAGTTTACTTGCTTCAGGTCGGTGTTGGGGCTTCTCGCACAGCATTGACATGATGATTTTGCTCTGCAAAAAAAAAAGATTGTGATCTCCATCATTTACATGGATGCTGCCATTTCCCAAGAAGCTCCATATACTCAAAAAAATTGTTTTATGTGTCAAGCAAATCAAAGAAGGCTGGTGTACCTCCAGTGGAAAATGTTGTTGAAACCCTTGAGGTAACGTCTGGTCTCTGGCATCATCCCAAATCTAAAATTCATGTGATACAAAAAAGGGAGAAAAAAACGAACATGTTGTTAGTGTGTTAGAAATCGATAAGCTGCCCAACATTTCCCAGAAGGCGTCTTGAGATGTCACAGCCAGAAGAGCACTGGTGACCAAAATCCATTTGGCTGTTTCAACTTCAAGTTCCTGCTTTTGTGAATGCTGACTCACTGTCATGACTTACACTGAACAAATATATAAACGCAACACTTTTGTTTTTGCTCCCATTTTTCATGAGATGAACTCAAAGATCTAAAACATTTTCTATAAACACAAAATAACCATTTCTCTCAAATATTGTTCACAAATTTGAAAAAATCTGTGATAGTGAGCACTTCTCCTTTGCCGAGATAATCCATCCCACCTCACAGGTGTGGCATATCAAGATGCTGATTAGACAGCACAGCCCCACCTAGTGTCAGCAGAAAGTATTAAAATAATGATTACAACAAAATACAAAACATAAATTAAAATATATTTTAAGATCATGTTTAATCATCTGATTCGTCTGTACATTACTGTTTTAGTATGTGTTCTTCTAATTAGTGTCTACAGTGTGTGCCTATTGAGCTGTTTGTTTAGAGCCATGTGGGACAAAACCCGATCCTGCTCCTCCCTCTCACTGTCTAAGTGAACGGTGACTGTAAAAACTACACTGCGCATGCTCAGAGTATTTTCCTATTTAATGTGTGTGGCAAAAAATAATGACCATAGGGGCATAGAGCTGCCATCCCCACCATACGTCATCTCACATCATTCAGAGCTGATTGGCTGTAAGTACGTGTGCCGCGAAAAGTGTGGTGTGTGAAGAGCAGGTGAAGAGGAGGAGAGAGACGCGTCCTAAAACCAGGAAGTAAGCTGCGCATGGCTTCCCTCCACAAAAAAGCAATGAGATTTCTCCATAGGATTTTAGAAAATAGCTCAAAATAAGATCTGTGGGAAACGTAGCTGTTAGATAAATGTACGTTTTGTTCAGCCGGATAATATCCACATGTCTACCCTACTTTTATAATTTTCTAATCATAAATCCATCATTTAGATTTATGATAGACTTTTGAAACTACAAGAAGATAAGGAGGACTTTTACAAAAAAGTAATAGAGATTTTTGTCCAGAAGGATAGGCAAATGGACTTCATCTTCAAGTCAAGGTAAGACCACAATTTTATTGAAAATGGGATCTTACTAAGAGAGAACAATTAAATATTAAAATGATAAAATTACATTTTTTGGGTATCCTTCTGTTGAACTGTCTGTTTAAAATTAATTGAAGCATCAGACTAAAGAGGCTTTTGAAAATAATATTATATTTTGATTTAGGTCAAAATATAATATTTGTAAACCTGAAGAGTCAGTGCCAGTGCCTCACCAGCCATGAACCTCACTGCAGAAGGTTATAGACATCTAAGTTGTTTGTGCCCCACCACTTTTGTACATATAGAAACGCCACTGGAGGTGGGATGGATTATCTCGGCAAAGGAGAAGTGCTCACTATCACAGATTTTTTCAGATTTGTGAACAATATTTGAGAGAAATGGTTATTTTGTGTATATAGAAAATGTTTTAGATCTTTGAGTTCATCTCATGAAAAATGGGAGCAAAAACAAAAGTGTGTTATATTTTTGTTCAGTGTACTAAGACACTTGAAAATACAACAGAGCCATTGTTATTGTTATTATAGCATAGATTTATACCTTATATAACTGTACAAAACAGACTATATAACTTACATGCATTATTCAACTGTGTAATATTCACATCACTTTGGCATGTTTTGTAATTTGTACATAATTATTGTTGGTATAAGTTGTAGTACAATGTGCACATTTTTTATTTGACTCCTCTATGTTAATACATATATATTATTTTGTTGGTATTTTATTGTAAAATGGAGCAAATCTAATCCTAACCCTACCAATGACTGTTGAAATATGAATATCAATTGCATAACACCTATTTTCTATCAGTTAGCTAAATATTTGTATAATAAACAGTTAATATCAACTGGAACTCATTTAGGAATCTCAATAACTCACCGGTTTCCTTTCATCAAGTAAGATCTTCCAAAAGACTTCAAAAAAGATCAACCCCAAAGCAAATATGTCCACTTTTCGATCATAACTCGTGCGCCTGTGTTTCTGTTATAAATAAGAGCAAAATAATAATGTTAGTTAGCTCGACAGCATCATTAGTGGTTCAAATCTGCATACATGTTTAATAACACAGAACATCTCACCTGCTCTGGAGCCATGTATCCCGGGGTTCCTTTGTACACCATTCTCTCCCTCAGGTTGTCAGCATCGTCGTCGTTCTCATCCGTGACCAGACCAAAGTCTCCGATCTTCACTTCTCTATTTTGCCCAAACATGATGTTGGCAGGCTAACCATGGAAAATACAAAAACAAACCTGTAGCTTCATGATCGACGTGGTGTACTAAACAATTTTTTTTTCTTCACTTTCTCTCACCTTCAGGTCCCTGTGTATGAGCATCTTGGAGTGAATGTACTCGACTCCGCTGACTATTTGCTGAGCAATACTTAGACCCTCTTCTCTTCTCTTGGAGTCTCGCAGTGATTTCTTCACATTCTGAACATTCTTCTGGTCTATCCACACTCTGAGTGTAGTGTCACACAACTCCATCTGAATATAAAAGAACTTATTACCGGTTGACCTAGAAAAAGAGAAAAAACTGGTTTCTTAAAGAGGCCCTTTTAGCTTTTTTGAGTTTTCCCTTTTCCTGTAGTGTGTTATATAGGTATGTGTGCAAGTAAACTCCACAGGGAGTTTCTCTCCCACACACTCCCCCCCTCTGCCTGAAACGCCTCCATCGTACCCCTTTGTTTACTTCAGTAACATAGTGACTACACAATGTAACACTCGCTTCTATTGGCCAAGTCTTTCATTGTGCTTGATAGGCGAAGGGGCGTGACATCTCTAAGCGGTTGACCAATCACAACAGATCCGGCCAGCTAACCAATCAGAGCAGACTGGGCTCTGGTTTCAGACAGAGGGTGAAAAGCAGCACAACCAGTATGAGAAAAATAAAGAGCTATTTGAACATTAAAGCATGAAAACATGTCGCAGTAGAGACACAAAATACTAATTTGAAAATGAGCAGAATATGGCCTCTTTAAATATAACTATGCTCAAATGTGTTTGTCAATTATTTTAATGAATAACACGAGATGATGACAAGAGGACACCGATGTCATCTAACACCAACTGTGACGATTGACATGCACTATCAAGTTTGAGATTTTGATTCAGAAAATGTAATTTAGTTTAGTATAATCTGATTACTAAAAAGGTAATTTGACACAGAAAAAAAAAACATGACTCCTTAAAAGATGGCTGACAAAATAAAAGAGGAAACATTCATTGACCAGTATTGAAGTCAAACGTAATACAATGTTGTTGACTGAAACTATATATGATACAAATGACTTAAACTTTAGTTTAAGACCAAGCCTAGATCTAAATCTGCCAGAGTGAACACTTAAGTAAAGATATTTATAAACTGCGTGTGGCTTACTGTGAGGAACTGCCACTGTCATCTTTGCTGTCCCATTGGTATCCTGAATCCTCCAACCAACAGGTGTAGTATCGCACGATGTTGCTGTGATGGAGGTCTGACAATGCTGTCACTTCTCCTAGAACTTTTTTGATCCTGATGAGAACAAGAACATGGATCAGTTAATGAAACATACCTTTGATTATGCAAAAAAAAAAATGTAAAGGAACACAGCGCTCATTTAAAACGGAAACAAAAGGAAGCATCTTTCATACGTTACTTACTCTTTGCAAGGGACAATCTTTATAGCATAATCCTTCCTTAGCAGTTTTTGTTGTGCCTTATAAACACGACCGAAGCTTCCGCTGCCGAGGCGCACAATGGAGTCAAAATCAGATGTGAACCTGTTGAGGGAAAAATTGTGACAAAACAAAATAAATATACATACAGATACAGAAGGTAAAGGCCACAGCAGTGTAAATATGATACTATGCTACGATTAGGATGAAACATTTTTTCTTTTCCATACCTTGAATTCACTGACTGCTTTGTAGTTTCCTTACTTGGACTACTTCCTGTCTTCTTGTCATTGAAATTGATCACATCCTTTATAAATGATATAAGGACAGTTAAAAAGACAGACAAAAAACAACAAACAAATCCAGCACGATTGATATTTTCTTACATCTTTGCTGTTTCTGGGGGAATTTTTGAAATTTGCTGCAATTCTAGCAAAAAAAAGAACAATCAGAAATAACATCAGGTGAAATATGATGTACTGTGGCTTTAGCGTGAACCGGAGAAGATGCTTTACCTTATTTTTGGCTTCACGTCTGGACTTTGAATCTTTTCAAAAAGAAATAAAACACAGCCAATTATACTTGAGGGTATATATATATATATATATATAAGAAGAAGAAGAGGAATTGGGAGGGATGAAACCCTCTTTAATGGTCACACATGCAGAGCGCACAGCACACACAGTGAAATGTGTTCTCTGCTTTTAACCCATCCTAGTACCAGGAGTCTAGTACTAGGAGCAGTGCGCAGCTATTGTACAGCGCCCGGGGAGCAATGGGAGTGGGGGGGATTGTCCGGTGCCTTGCTCAAGGGATATATGCAAAATCCATTACTTAATGTCCTAAAGAAGTCTGTATTTACTACTCAGATTTCAATGCTGTGAACTACACTAATATGGCAGCAATTATTGGCACACTCTTGGTTTTGCTAACTTGTAAATGTCCCCTCTGTGGGACTAATAAAGGTATTATGATTCTGATTTGCTCACACCAAAAATGTGTAACCCTAAAAAGCATCCTCCTAATTGATTAAGTCACTTGCTGCTATTTTTCCAATAGCAGAAGGCAATTAAATACATGACCAGTTACGTAAAACATTAAAGGTTAATAATCCAACCTTTGTAATAGACTGAGCAGTACCAACTGAAGAAGTATCAGAATCAGAATACCTTTATTTGTCCAGCAGAGGGGACATTTACATTTGTTACAGCAGAAAGAGCCAAAGAAAGCTTAATGTTAACTAAGAAGCATGCATAAAAAAAAAATTAAAGATACAACATTTTAAAATATGACACAATACACATCCTGTAACAGTTCTGAAGATATAGCAGCCAGGTATATATTGCACAGTTATTAACGGCATGTATATATTGTACATCATTTGTATTTCAATGTATGAAAGCATTAAGAGGATAGCACAGGAAATAACAGACCTTGTCCTCAGGAAGATTGGATGAATTTGAGAAAACAGCTGAGTCAGTTGAAGTCTTGGGCAGACTTTTATGTTTGGGATTAAGGAACTCCCTTGGAGAATAAAGATGTGAGACATTATAGTAAAATATTCTTAACATGGAATGTTAACATATGGCGTAATCCTTAGTCGGTGCCTTACAGTGGGCTCGGTGGCGTGGACACCCTGGCAAGCGCCCCGTCATCAGACGCAGCTGAGCACAAAGATGCCTAAAAAACACAGAGGAACACAAAGTAATGAACATGCCTTTCCTTCCTCTTAGCTTAAGCCTTAATGCACCACAATATTTCTCCCCTCTAGACTTGAAAACAACATAATTTGTTATAGGCTTTTCATTAAGCCTGGAGAAACTAGTGAGTATTACTACTTACCTCCGTAGTTTTACTGCAACATATCTCATGATATGCAAGCTTGGCTGCTTCCTCTTTAGCTTCTTTTTTCGTTCTCCCAGTGGCAGTTGGATACTCTTTATCACCAACGATGAAGCAACAGCATCTAATATCAGAAAAAGAACGTATTGATTGCTTTTTCAAACTGTGACAAAATAGCTGGAAAGCTGAGAAAATTAAGAGACTTACGGAGCAGCATTATTTTGTCCCAGTCTTGTTGACTCCGATACCCTTATAATACGCCGTTTCTTTTGACCATATTCATTTAGCCAACTTATATAGTTGGGCTGAGTGAAACTTGATTGTAGAACTGGTGCAGTAGAAGCTTCAGCTACCTTCTCGGTCTGTCAAGAAAATAAGAAATATACATAAAGAAGATATGAAGATAGTGATTTGGTCTAATATACTTTGAAATACAAATACTCACACATGCAGTATGTCAATAAAGAGGTAAAATAATCTTACAGGGTCAGGTGGTTTCTCCAACAAGCACCTCAGGGCATGTGTAGCTGCGTTTTGTTTGGCTTCCTTCTTGTTATTTCCCACACCATCAGGATACACATTACCATTCACGATTGCTCTGACTGTAAACCTGAGAAGAAATGGTAAAACTTTGTTGAAATGCAAGATGATGATGATAATGTGATGTGATGGGGGTTGTGTTACAAAGACATGAATCTGCATTTACTTAACATCTCCACAGTTGAAGTTATAAACGTAAATTGTTGGACCTCTTAGGCCCTCATCGGTAAACTATGCAACTGCCACTGTTGGGGGTAGTTGCTGATGAGATGTCAAAGTTTATAGGTTGTGAATGTGACCCAGAAGATATGTATGTCATGATGATCCACTTATTTTACATATTTGTGTTATTTTGTATGTTTACAGAGAAACCCATATAAGTATAAGTAATTAGTCAATATTTACGATAATATAAACTACGTTTTATCTCAGAGACTGTATGAAAATAGTTCATAAAAATATAACTTTAATATATGTTGCATGATTCAAACAGCAAGGCATCTCAAAATGATTTAAATGCAAATCAAAAGATTAAGAATTGTAGCTGTCATCAAGATTTTGTAAACTACAATGCAATTTGAAAATTGTAATTTTATGATGTAAATACCACACATATTGGTAAAGAAACAGTACATTTTTTTTTAATGATGTTGTTAAATACCTTAAAGAAATGATATGCCTGTATGTAAGATACACAGATATATTATAAAAAGACAATGAAAAATAAGCATCAGTAAATGTGGAACCTGTAGACTAAGTACCTTAAGTGCAATGTTGAGATACTTTTACTCCACTACAATTCAGAGGTAAATTATGTACTTTGACTCCACTACATTTATTTAATAGATGTAGTTACTTACGCAGATTTGTATTAAAGATGTGAAATATAATCAACACTTAAATAACACTTTAGCTACACCTGGAGTAAATTCACAAGCTGCCCTGCAGTATCCAAAGTCATTAAAACTAGCTGCACCTTTACCAGCTTTGATAAACCATTTAATGCATCAATTATTATAATCAAAACACATCATACAGTATATATTATTCTGAAATGGGCCAAACCGCATAATGAGTACTTATATTAATATTTTGATCCTAATACTTTTGTACTTTTATCTTGATTGCAGGACGTTTACTTGTAACAGAATATTCCTACACTGTGGTTCTTCTACTTTTACTTAAAGTACAATATTTTAGTACTTCTTCCACCTCTGCACGTGTAGGGATAGGTACTCGTGCACACTAAGCCCTTGTCAAAAATGAATGAAATCACTGCCAGCAAGTGAGCTTGTGCCTTTTAACGTTATGTTTTAAAACTAAATGCCTCAAATTGATGGGGGCGTCTGTAAACATGCAAAAACAAGGACATACTGGTATAAATAATTGTCTGTGCCACAGAGGATATGTATTTGCCCCCTGTGCAGTCCGTGCCAACCCTTACTGCGCTAATCGTTCTCCCCTACTCTAAACTATAACCAACGACACTCCTACACTACAACGAACTAATATGAACTTCTAATAAACAAACTGAAACTGATATAACAATGTAGGCCTATACCGTTTCTGCTATAACTAGGCGCCCATGCCTAGACCAATTTCCTTATCTTCTACAAACAAACACCATGTGAAAATACTCTCAACACATACGATAGGAGTGTGTCAGGCTAATAAAGTCTCAGTAACTTAGAATCCTGCATGCATGTTAAAAGATGGCGAATCATCATTATGAATGCAACTCACGTTTTAATGTGATCCGGGCCAACAGATCCAACGTCCTCATACCTCAGCGACAACCGCTCCCTCTGAGCATACTCGTTTAGCTTAGCTACGTCCATTATGCATATCCCTACAGTCGGAATGTCATTTCAAAGTGCAACATTCACGATATTAGCTATTAGCTATTAGCTAATGTTTCAGTTTTCATCTCAACTGTACTGCCCCGTGTTCTACGTAGCTCGATTCCGCCTGACCGAATTAAGTTTCGTTTTCTCGGTAAACGACAACGTCACACATCGTGGCAGCCTGCAAACAGGAACCAATTGAAAGCTATATCCGTGAAACAGTTGTATGCTATACAGTTTAAGGTTATATAATAACCCTGGGAGGTTTATGGGAAAAGTTTAAGTAGTGGAACGTGATGTTTTTGTTTTAATAGCAATTAGGTAGACCACTGTCATAATGTTTTCTTTTCGGCTTTCTACGATATTATATATAATTTGTCTTGATTTTTTAAACGTTTGTTATGTTTTGTTGTTGAAACGTTTGTAGCTTTAATAAGATATGTGCCTACATTGACAAAACGCTGTAAGCATTCAAAAACTACAGATCCCAAGAAGGTTTAGGTAAGAGCCAAGTGCTAAGATTCATGGGAGCTGGAGTTGGTAGTTTTTTTTTTAATCGTTGAAGAGGGTTTTTACCCAGCAAATATAGGACCTATACACTCACAACTAATGGTCACACACACAAAGGCACAATTATATTCTATTAAACCTAAAGTAATGTGATTTATTATTGTATTATTAGGTTGCTTAAATACAAATTAAGATGACAAGGTATACATCTTCAAACATTTAATGAAAACATAGGATTTCAATTGCTCCTGAAACATGTCTTAAACATTTAAAAAAGGTAAATAAAAAAGGCATCCTGAATTTCCCACTGACTTAATGTAGATTTCATAAAACCAAGACCGCCGTACAAAGATTATAAACAGTGATGTTCTTCCAGAGATGGAAACAGATTCAAATGGGAACAATATATACATATTTCTGTACTGCTAATCGACTATTTCCTTAACTGCTTAAGAACCAGGGGTGACGAGCCTGTTTCACAGCGTAAAATGCTCTCTGCACCCCCTTTTAACATTATGTTTGGCAGGTTAAACATTTTCAACTGCTTTTTCACTGGGAACTACTGTTCATATGTTTGAGTTTAATCGTGGTCTGCTTCTGTGTCCCCGGGACAGTTAGAGCACAGGTCGTCTTCATCTGTAAGAAAAAAAAAATATATATATATCTGCAAAGGCAATAACAACAAGAATAAAAACCCACAGCCATGTTGTCATCACTCTTACCATTGTAGGTGGTCCCACACCATATGCAGTAAAAATGGATTCCTCTCAAATAGGAGGTCAAAATGGGCAGTTTGTCAAAAGACTGTAACAAAGAGAGACATATATCAAATACATTCATTTTACTCAGAATTATTTACCTTATGCCAAGACAACAATAGTGTACTATACACTGGCAGAATGTGAGATACATTTCCTATGTATGCTTTTTGGCAACAACTCTTTGAACTATTATTACCAAAAATGTAGTTGACAACAGAATTGATTTGGGTTAATGTATTAAAATTACAGCACTGTTAACAAGGTAAACTCAATACTGACGCTTAATTCAACAATCTCCTCTTCATCTTCATCTTCTTCTTTTTCTTCTTCCTCCTTCTCCTCAACATCATCCTCCTCGTCATTAGTTTCTATTTTAGGCCAGTACCAGTCTTCCCTTGGGACAGTGATGCCCTGCAAAGACAATATAGCCAAAAGATTTACACAAATAAAACCACAAGGGCTGTTACTACATCGATTAAATAAAAAAAATCATGGTCATTCTCATGGCTCATTTGTATTTATTCTCAGTGAAGAGAATGTAGTTCTTTAACAATAGCATTAGCACTGTATTATAGTGATGATGAGCTTATATTTTAAACTTAATTCCTCTAACCTTCTGACTGTCAAGCTGCTCACAGGCTCGCTGACTCTTTCTGAGATCTCCTTCAATCTTCCGCTCCTCTCTCTCTGTCCTTACTCTCGACCTGATGTAAAAAAGCACACCGTCACACACACACATTTTGAAACATTTGAATGATAAGATGGGAGATATTCAGAGCCAGTGCTCTCATGGAGGGCTACACACTTCACCTAAAGTCTTCCAGAGACTTTGTCTCATTGTGTTGTTTGGCTCGTGTTTTCTGACGATAATGTTGAAGTTCCTCCTCAGCTTTTCTTTTCTTCACCTCTTCCATTCCAATTCCACCTCTGTCTGTTTTAGCATTCAAAGACACATAATCAAACACTGTAAGCCAGCAGTTGCATTTCACATACTTTTACCAAACCAAATGTAATTGTGTCACAAAGGTATTGCCTACCGGTTTTGATGTTTAAAGGAATTGGATCAACCCTTCCTGCTCCTGAAGAGGCAACATATGTATGTAAATTAATACACACACACTACAAATGCAAAACAGAATACAATCACATTAATAAAGAATAAACTTGCCTGCCTTCCCTAGGCCTTGACCAGCTTTGTAACCCATTTTCTGCAGAATTGCAAATCCCTTGTTCTCTTTGCAAATTGAGTTCTGTAAAACTGCCTCTCTGCTTTCCTTCTCTTGCTCTTTATAGGTCTTCTGGCGGTTCTTGATGTTTGTCTCCTTGATCTCTGTCTCCTTCTTTATTTCTTCTTTTAACCGCCTCACCATGCTGACACCTGGCTTCACATCTGGTCTGAAAGACAGAGGGACATAGAAACAGTCATTGGGATGATACAACACTGTCAGCATGGCTGTAAACTCACACTTCTATATTTTCACAACTCTGAAAATCAGTCAGTGGTATCAGTCCTGATACCACAGGGCAATCATGTAAATCATGTAACAGTAAACGTTAATGTAGTAGCTTAATTAGAAATCTCCACAAGGCTTACATTTTACTGAGAAATGCATCGGACATATAGTCCTCTTCCTCATCAGACATTTTGACCACGCAAAAGAGAACAAATGTAGTTAATTAGAGCTACAGCACTTTAAAAATAATCCGGTTGTGCATTTGTATTTTCTTCACTGATGTTTGGTTCGTTCAAATTCAAATTCCGAGTAGCTACAAGTGAGGCAACGAGTTACAGTTCCGGCAGTTTTGACAAATATTTCCACCACCTCTTTTAATTTCAAATGCAAGTAGACAACTTGGACAAAGCCTATACATACTTTGAAATATTTTTGTACTGCTCATGTTGCGGTAGTTTTTTTTGTGCACATCGTTTCCTCAGTTTCACTTCGGGCTGATTTTAACGCGACACCGCCGATTCTCGTCGTCGTTCATCGCTAGGTTGTCGAAAACAGGTGAGATGAACAATTTAACAACATGTATACCATATTTCAGAGAAGGTGTTGTTGTGGAAGTGTTATTGAAATGCTAAATGTTTTAAAAGATGATAAAAGATAGCTTACACTCAGTTTAGGTGGGTGTGTGTAGCTTAGAGTATAGCTTGTTCCTCGTAGTAACCAGCTAGCTTAGGTTGCTAACCAGCTAGCCATCAACAGCTGGAGGCAGGCAGCTGTCAGAACTGAGCAGCAAAGTGTTAACGATACACAGCTTTGACAGTTCAGATTTGTACACATTCTGTGTAAAAACAAACAGTGTTTAACGACTTCTAAAGCATTGATAGCTGCTATGTCTTTATTATTGCTTGTGTGTCTTGCATCCACCTGATACAGGCATTGCAAGGATGGCAAAAATGTCAACAGATATTTAGTGACGTAGGTGGTGCTTATTTACGTTTTAGGTGATTGGAAGGAATGGCATATATTATAAAAGAAACGTTTACTGACAAAGCATACTCACGTATATAACATTGCAGAGGCTACGGTGTGCAGCAGTGTTTTGAAAGGTCCTCGCCATGGAGCTGGCTCACAGTCTGCTGCTCAACGAAGAAGCCTTGGCCCAGATCACTGAAGCAAAGAGGCCTGTCTTCATTTTCGAATGGCTCCGCTTCTTGGATAAAGTGCTCGTGACAGCAAATAGGGTGACCATTGAGATTTCAGCTTTGTTTTTCTTAGTGGTTTTCATTAGAGGCAGTTTGTGACATTGTTCTGCATTCAAATGGCAGGTGGATGTGAAGGAGAAGCAGAAGAAACTGGTGGAACAGCTGACAGGACTGATCAGCAGCGCCCCTGGACCACCAACAAGAAAACTGCTGGCCAAAAACCTGGCCACGCTTTACAGCATCGGCGACACCTTCACTGTTTTCCAGACTCTGGATAAATGCAATGAGATTATCAAAAGCAAGGATGACACACCTGCGTACTTGCCAACAAAACTGTAGGATCCCATTTTTTTTAATATATATTTTTTAAATACACTCACTCTACATATTTGCATTAGGATACAAGCTGCTAGCACTGCTTTGAGTGTTTCGGCTATATACTGTAGGCTCACCTTCAAGGGTATTAGCAGTTAAGCCAAATGTTAATCTGCAGAATGACATTTCATGTTTAAAGGGGGGATTAAGTGTACATTAGCAGATATTATGCTGTGTTTTCTTCCTGATATTAGTGGAATCTAACACTGTTTGTTTTACTGTAGGCTTTTATCTATCAATCCTTCATACCTCCTTGACACTGTGGAGTGAATAAAAGCCGGTTTGAATGTTTTAATAGGATATTTAAGTTATAAACGTGAACTCATTTATTCATATTTATTTAAACAGAATTAGGTCTCATTTCATTATTGTGTTGTTTCTCAAATAATTTAAAATGTATACATATTTTGCAGTGCTGCAGTGGCATGCGTTGGAGCTTTTTATGACAAGATGGGCAGGATGCTCGGAAGCTCATTTCCCGACACCATTAATAATATGTTGAAGGCATTAAAGAGTGCAGAGGTACGTATATTTCGCAATGGAATGCAGCTTTCAATTTTCTTTCAGCAAGAATGTGTTTGGTCCAATTTTAAACTGGAAAATATGAACAGAAATTGATAACTAAAATGATGTATTTTCAGAAACAGATGTGAAATGTATTTGAATTGTCCTGTTTTCAAAATTGTTTTGCTGATGTAGTCCCAAGGCCGAGGAGAGATCCTTCTCAGCCTGCAGAAGGTGCTCTGTGGTCTGGGAGGAGCTGCAGCTTCATGTCACAGAGATATCTACAAGAACGCCCGCTCTCTGCTCACAGACAGGTCCATGGCCGTGCGCTGTGCAGTTGCAAAGGTTAGTCTCAGAAAGATAATGAAATTGTGTGCTTCAAATCACACATCTTTTGCTATGTCATTTAGGTTGAATCAACTCATGTGAAAATGCAAAACTCCTCCCTATTTCGAAAGACAATTTCCTGTTTAGAAAACATGACGGTTGTACTGCACATTGTACAAGTTGTGTTACTAGCAGTTGTGGAATAAACATTCACATATCTTACTAAAGTAGTTGTAGCAATACAACACTTATACTGATCTTTTTTGCTACTTTTTATTTGATTTACAAATAGTAAAAGTACTTTAATTTGCACAATGGTCTATTTCAGAATCATATTTTGTATAACTGATGCATTGATGTGTCACTCACTTAATGTTGCAGCGGGTAAATGTGGGGCTATTTCTAATGACTTTATATAGTAAAGTTCCCCTTAACCTATAATGTTACATAATCATTTATGAGTATATTTGTATTTTTTATTAATTATATAACTTATAAGTCATTAAGTAAATAGTACAATATTTCTCTCTTTTTACAAAATACAAATACTCAAGTATTATATACAAATATTATACCTCAAAATAATACTTCGGTAAGGACTTGACCAAATAAACGTAGTTACTTTCCAACTAGTGGCTAATATATTGCAAAGATATGTATAAGCATCGGAATTGTTTGTATGCATCATCCATATGTCTATATTGAGATTGTTACTGCACATGCATGACGTAGAGGTTAATAACAGGACCCCATCTTTATTCTTCTTCTCTGATCAGTGCCTATTGGAGCTGCAGAACGAGGCAGTATTCATGTGGACCACAGAACTGGAGAACGTGGCCACTTTGTGTTACAAAGCATTGGAAGGATCCAACTATGGTGTACGGGTAGAAGTGGCCAAACTGCTGGGGACAGTCATGGCCACCGCCCTGTTGCCCAAACATGCATCAGGTAGGTTAAAGGGCTGATTTGTGTGGTTTATGTCTAGTTATAAGTCCAGCTCACATGTAGTGTATTTCATGAGCTCAATATGTTCTTCCTCAGTGATGCGCCAGAACGTGAAGCGGGCCACTCTGGAGGAAGTGCTGGAGCTCATGGCCACGGGCTTTCTGCGTGGTGGATCGGGCTTCCTGAAGAGCGGAGGGGAGATGTTGAAGGGGGGAGGCTCTGTGAGCAGGGAGGTGCGGGTGGGCATCACACAGGTGAGGTGAAATCTCAAACATCAGAACATGAGCCTGCAATTTCTGATCAATACACTTCTCACGTGATCCTTTTCTGTATTTCTCTCCAGGCCTACGTCGTGTTTGTGACTACACTGGGTGGTCAGTGGCTGGAGCGCAACTTCGCCACGTTCCTGTCCCACGTGTTGGACCTAGTGTCCCATCCGCGGGCCACGCAGACACACGTTGAGGCTGTGTACTCACGCCGCTGTGTTTCCTTCATGCTGCGCGCCACCCTGGGGGGGTTACTCGGAGAGAAAGCACAAATTGCAGCCGGCAAAGAAATCTGCCAAGCCATCAGCAAGCAAATGAGGGCTGTGGGTAAGGAGGATGGGGGGGAAATATCACGGTTCAGAGCATTACAGAGTAAGTACTCATCCATTATTATCACTTTTAATTCATTTAGTTTCTCATCTCTTGCATGGTTTGCGCTTGTGTTGTCTACAGAGGTGGTGTTTTTCTTTTCCTTCTTGTTGTGTGTGGAGATGGCTTGCATATCTACTTTTCTTTCTGCTTTTGCTCTTTGGGATCACTCTCCTCTTTCTTTACTTTTTCTTTTTAACTACAAGCAGTATTATAATGTCAGTAACATCAAACGCTGCCAGCTCAGCATTTGAGTTACTCATGCTTGCATTATTACATACCCTCTGCGGGCTGTTTGCCATTCTGTTATTGTATTGCAATCCCTTAGGAGCATGACATAACTCTTTCTGAGTGTAGACATCTGGCTTACACCAGCAGAAAAAACTGCATGTGCCACTAAATTCACAGACACAGTGTAGAAACAAGCCACCCGTCCCCAGCAACAAGACTTCATATTTGCATGTTTTTCCATCATTACGTTTTATTGATCTCAGTGCCTCAACTTTTTATTTTGTTGGGATATAGCAACACATTAATCATTTTTTCAATCACCTTTATCTCATTCAAAAAGGATGATTCTTACTCTGATTTGCTTTGCAACCTTTAAACTGATGTCAACTATCAGAAATGTACACTCTTGTTCATATTGATTGATTGCTGATGATAACTATGTTGAATGTCAGTTTCTCTTGAAAATTGGTCCTGGGCTCTTATATCTTTGCTGCTTTTCCAACCATCTGGATCTGTGAGACTTCTTGATATTGTATTTTGAAATATCTATGTGAAAAGTATCTTGAAAAATATTTCCTGGAGTGGAGACATGTTCCCCTCTTTATTCTATACTTAGTTCCTGGTTTCCTAAACTGTTTGAAATAACATGACTAGCACAGTTCAAGAAGCAGCCTTCCTCTTTCTAAAGCTATGTAATTCCTTTTCTGTCTGATCCCTCTTGACTGTTGCCTATATACAGTAGAGCTCTGAGGATTTCAAGTTCTTGATAAATGACATTCAAAAATTCTAATCCATGATTTACCTGAATTTAGATTTACTGTTTTTCCTTTGTCACTTCATCCATTAATACAGCTATAGCCAGTGTGTCCTGTTTGTACCGTTTTGAAAATACTCAGAGCTCTGTGTGTGTGACATGTAGCAGCGTGCTTCTCAGTATTTTGTGGGAAAATATATTCAGATTCATAATGTGTGAAAGCAGTACATAGGCTAATGTGGCCAGTGAATTATGTTATTACTAAACATGATTTTTTGTTGCATATAAGATGATTATAAATAACTTCTAAAATGTGTAAATCTGACAAAATGGAAGTTACAATCCAGTGAA